GTGCATTTTAATAATAAGATTATACTGTTTCATGATAAAAGAGGTGGAAAGAGAGTAATAAAGGATCTTTAAAACTGACCAATATATTCCAGCATGAACCTTCTTGGACACAAAATCTTATATTGAAATGATCTTGAAAAAGTATCAAAAGACTCTTTTTTCTTTCCCTTTTTAATATTATAGATAATTAACTTCTTATATCTTATCATTATATGTTGTCCCACAGCCCTATTTTGTTTGTTGTTAACCATATTCAGTGAAATTTTCTAATAGAAAATGTGTGTGTGTTGATCAAAATTAAGATGTACACTTTCAATCCAAAACAATATTACAAAGAAACAACCTACCCAAGTCTATTTCATTAGCATTTTTGGTCCTATGGCCCAAGTAGAGCATCCCAGGACACTTTTGTTTTGTGAGAAGACACAGAAAGTCCCTTATAGCTTAGGAAGTCTTCTTACTTGACTGGTGTCTACTGCTATGGGTATTCTATTGATGGTAAAACCAAAAAGGTTGTTCTAAGGCAGTGGTTCTCAACCTGGGGTTCCCAGATGTTTTTGGCCTTCAACTCCCAGAAATCCTAACAGCTGGTAAACTGGCTGGGATATCTGGAAGTTGTAGGCCAAAAACATCTGGGGACCCCAGGTTGAGAACCACTGTTCTAAGGTATCTGGGATGAACTGAGGGAGGGTTTAGCTAGACTAGATCCAAATGGCCTTGTTGAACTTAGTTGAAACATAGAATCCTCAGGTATCCATCCTATGTCTGAAAACTGACTGACTAAACACTGTTCCACTAAACCCACAGAGTGACTAGAAAGCATGTCTAGTTCCTTTATAAGACCTTTTTTTTTTTTTTTGGTGCCTGAAGTAAAGTTTCTTTGAAGCCAAAAGCATACCAATATGCAGCATTCATGTCACTCTCACAAGGTCTAGAAAATCAGATCTGCCATTTTAGGCTGCAATTCCATATGATCCAATAGGTCTATTTGCCTGGGACTGTCCTTATTTTCTTATCTTATTTGGTTCCTCTGTTTCAGACTATGGGACACTGCTTATACTGCATTAAGCCACGTTCAAGAGCTTCATTTCACCTGTTAGGGCAGTTCTGAAAAAAAGCAGGCAGGTTGAACCAAGGAGGGTCACACCAATATGAAGAATTTGAACAAAGAACAACCAAACCAGCAGGCGCTTAAAGGATACATATTAAGAATACTACGTAATCTACAGTATTCTGTATTACTGGAAATTGCTTAATAAAAGTATCACAGTGCATTTTTGTGCACTCAACATTTCATTTTGGCTCACTGTCTAGAGAAGTGTTTCTCAATCTTCCTAATGCTGCGACCCCTTAATACAGTTTCTCATGTTATAGTGACCCACAACCATAAAATTATTTTCGTTGCTACTTCATAACTGTAATTTTGCTACTGTTATGAATCGTAATGTAAATATCCGATATGCAGAATGTATTTTCATTCACTAGACCAAATTTGGAACACATACCCAATACACCCAAATTTGAATATTGGTGAGGTGGGGGGGGTGTGTGTGTGTGATATTGTCGTTTGGGAATTGTAGTTGCTGGGATTTATAGTTCACCTACAATCAAAGAGAATTCTGAACTCCACCAACCATGGAATTGAACCAAACTTGGCACACTGAACTCCCATGACCAACAGAAAATACTGGAAAGCTTTGGTGGGCATTGACCTTGCATTTTGGAGTTGTAGTTCACCTACATCCGGAGAGCACTGTGGACTCAAACAATGATGGATCTGGACCAAACTTGGCATGCATGCTTAATATGCCTAAATGTGAACACTGGTGGAGTTTGGGGAAAATAGACCTTGACATTTGGGAGTTGCAGTTGCTGGGACTTATACTTCACCTACAATTAAAGAGCATTCTGAACCCCACCAACGATAGAATTAGGCCGAACTTCCCAAACTGACCACTCTGACATCCTCTCATGACCCCCCAGGGGTCCCGACCCTCAGGTTGAGAAACACTGGTCTAGATACTATACAACAATTATTATTATTCTTGCACACCTTTAATGCAATTAATTGATAAATTTTAAAAGACAGATCCTGTGGAACTGTTGCAGACTGCATGAGTACAAAACAGTGGGTGGAAGTGGATGGAGAAAAACTTTCAACCATGTGCATGAGGCACATGGAGAGTTGGCACGTGTATGAAAATTGGAGTGATCCTTACTATGAAATGAGGAACACTGTAAACATATTTTCATTTTAAATCTCAAAATAATGTCAAAGAGGTGGCATGTTTGTAGCACAACAGTCTTACTATCTGATTTTTGTTTAATATTTAAGGTACCACATAGTTGTTTGTTAAACTACTCAGTAATGGATTTCAGTCCATTGCTACTACTGTCTTCCTCCTGCAACACCAAAACTGCCAAAACTTCACTTATCTCTTATAAAAACTTGAATTCAAGCCACTACAGCAATTCTTGTAGCACAAAGAAATGCCAGCTGAGCTATGGGTTATGTAATGATACAGGTGGCTTGTCCATTTACCATTTAATAATAGTTTCTAGCCATATAAGGTCTTGTGGGCATCCTCTCAAGTCAAGAAAAATGTCTGGTATGCAGTGGGGTTTTATGCCACATCAGATTCCAAGAAACTGTTTCGTACTAATCAGACCTTAGATCTGACCTGTTTTAACATTCATTGTATTTTAATGAATCAGTAGCCGCGGTGCATTCCAAAGTCCAGTCATTGCTTATGGAAGACTAAGCCACCAAGCATCAGATCCCTGTTCAGGCTTGTATTCCCATAAATAGCAAGGGTCAATGACCAATTGGAGAAAGGGGGGCAAAGGTCAGTGGCAGCAAGAAATGACATAGCCAGGATTATTTTGTTTAGCAGACTGCCAACTGACTTCTTAAACTGCAGCTATAAGACTGACATCAGCTATTTTCTCTGTCATTCTGTTGGCAAGGACAATCACTTAGGCATAAAATACTAGGAAAACACCAAGATCATGCTCCTTCATGTGTAAGTCGAACATTAAAAGATTGATTTTTTATTGTAAAAGACGCTTTCAGAGATTGCAGTCTACTTCATGAGATACATCATATAGAGATATTGCCAAGCCAGAATCTGACAATTTTCCATAATATTTCTAGTCAATGCCCTTCTGATCAATATTGTCACTTATTAAGTAACTCAGTTAACAAGAATACAGAAAGTTTGTGAAAGTTCAGCATAGAATTTCAGTGCTCCTACATTTACCATAGGAATGACTTCCCAGGAATTGTTCTAAGCAAAATCATCAAACATCGATGAAAGTGTTGCATCAGAAATAGATCCAAGTTGTCTGGAAAATGAGAAGTATGACTATTAAAGGGTAATTTGTCAGAAATGTTTTAAAGACCACCAAATTAAGACTAGGCTAGTAAAGAAACCAAAGCTGCCAACCAGATTAATTTCTTGAGCTCTGGATTGGCAACTCCACAGCACTAGAAGTCCCAACAGCGACACATTTTAACACTCTTGGAAATTACTGGTTGTTTCCACTAAAATTGCCAGAGAGTCTAATGATCTGCAGTAATTTGAGAGTAGCCTGGTTTTCTCTTTCAATGAATATTGTTGATTTCTAATGTGAAACACTTTGCAACTATATTTTAAATAATAAATAGTAATAAGATTTAAATGAATATATGCAAGAAAAGATTCAATAGGCTGCTTTCTTTGTTGTTTTGATGCTTCAAGAAATGTTTTATTTCAGCATGTCATGCAGACATAATGCCACAGCATTGTTACCATGAACAACAAAAGGGGAAAGGACAATTCATTTTAGCAACTCCACTGCAACAGTTTGCAGCACTGTGATGATAAAGGCAATTACACTAAATGAATTAAGACATAAAGGGAAGGCTTGGCAACCAGGAGTTGCCTTGTAGAAGTGTGAATGTATATCTACTCTCTGGCTTCTCATTAGAGAAGAAATGACTGCAAACCTATGAACGTCAAATTTCTTTTTCTGTTGTTATTGTATACTACTTTGTTGGAAACATCCGTATAAGAATGTATACTTCCTACCACTGAAACTTAACCTCGACAATGCAACTACTTCAGTCCATCTAAAGCAGGGGTGGGCAAAATGCAGCCCTTGGTTTGCCTATGGCAGTGGTTCTCAACCTGTCGGTCCCCAGATGTTTTGGCCTTCAACTCCCATAAATCCTAACAGCAAGTAAGCTGGCTGAGATTTCCGAGAGGCGTAGGCCTCACCCCCCGATTTCCAAAAAACATCTCACAGCAGTTTGCTTCCCTGATCCACTAAAGATTCTCAAATCCCCATATCACACAAATTGATGTATTTTTTAATTCACCTAAATTTTAGGTCAGATATGCTGAAATGTACCAGTGTGGCCTACAAGATGGGTGCAGGGTGGAAAAATGGACCCACCACATGTGCAGTTGCCTACCACTGATCTAAAGGCTGTAAGCATTTGGAAAACATATGTAAGAACTTGGAAAAACATGTCTTAACAGAGTAACATTTACTATTACCAAATTACTATTTTTTTCTCCCTTTCTCTAAGGCCCAATAGCACATATATCAGCATTTCCTGAGGGAAGCTGGGGGCCATAAACATTTTGTGAAAGCATCCAAACAGGCACAGCTTCCATTTATATTCATTGAGCTTCCTCAAGAAATTAGAAAGTTGGGTATTGACCACACATTACAAAGGATGACATACCACCACTCATTTCAGATTAACATAATCTGCATTATTTAGAATCCTACATGCAGATAAACGCCTAAAATATATTCTAACTTCATAGAGAATAATTTAGAATGAATGCTATAATTTCTCTATTCTATTAATAAGATACAACCACCACCATCCCACAAATACAACCCTTCAAACAAATATTTTCAGTTCTAATCCGCAAATGCAGAGATTTTTTATTATTGCGTTATATTATTAAAGACTTAAACAGAACAGGAAAGTTTGGAAAACTTACAGTCTCTTCTAAGATTTTCAGCTGCTGGTCAATCTCTTTAAGACGGTTTTGCTGATCACGTTCTTCTTTAGTGTCTCTTAAGACCTTTTCACCTGGAATTGTTTCCAGCTTTCTATTTGCATAAGCCAAAGATTCCTAACAAAAGCAAATAATAATGGAATCACTGAATTGTAGAAAAGGAAAGGGAATGCATATTGGCCAGTCCCCTTCCCTGGAGGAGCCCCCCTTGTACACCAAAAGTTCCCTTGCAGATTAGTCTGTATCAGACAGATTATAGAACACCATTGATAGAAAATAATGACTGTTTGGCTGAAGAATACGCTTGGTTCACATAAATGAGTTGTGCTGAGTATTATTACAAAAGTGGGGAAAATTCATAGTCAAATTGTAAATCTGGCCTCTGGGGCAACTCTTTTTACCTCAGAGTCTGGCCGACTATGTGTGAAACTGAAATTCAGTCCTTGTTCTGCAAGAAAGTCAACATCCTGGGTTTGAAACAAGGTTCACGGAGAATGTATGCCTCGTAAGCTAAATCACAATTCTGGATTTCTTCTGAAAGAGGAATTTGGGATTTAAAAACAAACTGTACACTCCCTGGGGACCTTGTTCTAAGGACCGGGTAGCAGCACGTGTCCCCATATGGACCCTAGGATGGTTTTACAAGGCCCACACCTTCCTGAACATGCTTCTGAAATTCAAACTATATTGTCAAATCCCCACAACAAAACAGAAACTCTTCTTTCCTACTTTGACTTATGGTGACTCTATGAATGAGAGACCTCCAAATCACCCTATCATCAACAGCCTACTCAAGTCATACAGACTTCGGGCCATGGCTTCTTTTATTGGGGCTATCCATCTGTAATGTGATCTTCCTTTTGTTTTTTTTCCTACTGCCTTCAACCTTATTAAGCAGTACTTTTCTTCTACTGAGTATTTAGTATGAAATAGTATGTCTTTATACACAATCCCACCACCATGGAAAGGTAGTGCTATTGGTAGGCATTACTGATGTTTTAATAACATGGGTGCAAAAGTTATAGTACATGTTCATAACAGTAAGAAAAATAAGTCTTGAACTTAACAGCACATTACGTGTTCATTCTGTGCTTCTGTGTATGCTATTACTACAATTTAATTGGCTTTGCATATTGAAAAGTAGAATTAATTTTGTTAGGCAGATACATGAATGGTCTCTTTTAAATGACTTCCAGAGTCAAGAATAGTATCTTACCAAATGATCCTGTCTGTTGAAACTGCTGCACGTATTATAAAATTCCATGAACTGAAAGAACTTCAATGGGAGTTTTTTTTGTAACCATAACTTCCTGCAGCATGAGTACATACAGCTATGGGGAATTACTAGAAATTATGTGCTGGGTATGCAGGTTAAATTCCTACAATAATTGCCTTTCATGTAGGAATACTGTGATAAGCAAAGCTATCTTTAATTTTACAATAGAGTCAATGTGACATCTGAAATAACAAGAAAATAATTTTGAACAATAACAAATATTAATGAAGTCTTAGATTATTATTTTTATAGAAAAGTGTTCAATACTCTTGCCAAAAGATTAGTTTTAACAAAGGAATTTGAACTACTGTACCCTTCCTGGCATTTGGCAGTATTCATTCCCTATGCTGAAGAAAACTGCTTTAAATTTAATATAAAGCATGAGAGGATGAACTTATTTTTATCTGATTATGAGGATTAGGAAATGGAACAAGGGACAAAGAATGGTATTATTCATCAGAGGAATGAAAGTTTCAGCAAAGTCCAGCCTCTTACTTTCCGCTCTTCTCACTTGCTGCCATGACATCATTTGTATCCAGAGCCTAAAGCAACTGAGGTAATATTTGGCAAATATGAATGATCAAAGGTTCTGTCTGGCTACACATAAGAAACTAGATGCCTTTTCAAAATTTGCCAAAATAAAACCATCCAAATGTTAATTAAAAGCACGTATTTATGATATCGAGCATACTTCTTTTTCCAAACAGTGTACATTTTTAGCCAAAACATCCAATAGAATTAAAAGCAATTAGGCTTCATGAACAACAGTAAAGGAGCTTCTGGTAGCAGGGATTTTTTTTTGGGGGGGGGGGGGGGTAGTGTAGCTAAACCATCAGTCAACAATAATGCTAGTGAGATCAGTGTTTTTTCACAAGCTTCTCTGCAGCCACAATTGCTCTGAAATAACAAATATTTGCTTACCCAATTGGCCAGTCCTGTGAGTGTCAATGCTAAAAAAATACTCACATGGAAAGACATGGATACTAAGAACACTGTGTTTTGTCTGCAGAATTGGCTGTTGCCTTGCTCTTCCCTAGAAATCCCTCATGAGAGCTTCCACACTCACCAAAAGCTGATTTTTAGAGCTGGAGGACCATCCAAAATGATGCTGCACATGGAATGGTAACTCCAGATAAAAGAGAAGTTAGCATACATTCTAAGCACCTTTGGAGCAAAGATGAATTTTACAACTATGCCTTCAGAACTTTACCAATCTAGGAGCTGTGTCTCAATTCACATTATTTTCAGCATTCCTCTGTTTACATTTGTGGTAGTCACAAATAAGTCCCACTATATTTTGTTCTTACTCTCAAAGAAATGTGCATAGGATGGCCTCTCTGTAGCACTGGGAATTCATTTTCAGGCATACATTATTGTAGCAGGGGGAAAAGATTAATTAGAAGTGATACTGGGCACAAACAGGCTGCTCATCCAATTTTTTAAACACTCAACTATGTTTTGGGAATTTTATTCGGTTAACTGATAACATAGGCCTGCAAAACTGTGGGTCATAAAAGTTTTTTTTTAAGTTTGCTGATTGTGTAGGGATATAGCATTCTAAATTCAAAAAGGTTCTCAGATTTGCTCCATTGTGTACAGATTTTTTCACAACTTACTTTGACGCTTTTCATTACCCAAGTAATAATAACAATAAAACTTTAATTATAGACCACCCTAGCTCCCCAAAGGGACTCAGGGCAATTTCCCATGAATATGGCAAACATTCAGTGCCAAAAGGAAAACCATACAAACAACGTACATCAAGACAATGAACATTAGACAATATAGAACAACCAACCATAACTTAGTAAGCAAAATCACAAAAAAACCCCATAAAATACAAAAACCTTGTCTGATGGAGTTCAACAATACCAATGGCCAGGAGTACTAAAATAGACGTGATCAGCTATAAAAGAGCTAGGCGAGGGATAGTGCGAACAACGTGGCATTGGGCTGGGGAAGTAGATGAAGTGCAGAACAGAGTGCTATCTAGCAACACAGGGACTGGGCCTAGGGACTAGTCATTCTCAAAAGGTTGCTGGAACATCCAGGTGTTCAGTTCTCTATGAAAGAAGGACAGGGATGGTGTTCCAAAGTCAGAGGGCCACCACTGAAAAGACCCTCTCCCTCATCCCCACTAACTGTGCTTGTGACAGAGGTGGAGTGAGAGGAGGGCCTCCCCAGCAGATCTTAGAGCCCGCACCAGTTCAAAGGGGAAGATGCGATCACGAAGACAGGCAGGACACAGGCAGTTCAAAGGGGAAGATGCGATCACGAAGACAGGCAGGACTGTTTAAGGCTTTGTAAGTCATAACTTGCACCTTGAATTGGGACCAGTAACTTATCAGCAGCTAGTGGAGCTGCTTTGATAGGGGTGTTGTGCGTAAGATGTCTTTGGAGAATAAAGAATAAACAGGGGACTACAGTCTTCTAACAGATTTTCAAAATACTTTAATTAACTGATATGAAACAAAAATCGTTCAAAAGCACTGAAATTCCCACTGGAATTTCAGTATTCACACTTTATAAAAACGAGTAATGAATCAATTGATGAAAATATCAAATGTATAAAAGCACTGTGTGTGGTATAACATTTTTATCGTGTTCTTCTCATTCAGCACCCAAAAATATCACAACCATGTTAGTTAAGCATTTAATAATGCACTTCAGTCATTCAAAGGAAAGGGGCAGGCAAAAGGGAATGTGAACACAGCAAATGTATGAGTTCTAGGTGTGAACAATATTCAGCGTCTCTCTGCAATGCTAGAAATGTGGGGCCTTCCTCACTCTCCATAGCAACACCTCTGCTCAGTGTACACCAAGTTTGAAGGAGTTATTAAATGAAATTGGATATATTCACATTCTCCTGATAGCCCTGCCTCACTTTGCTGCTAAAAAATGAGCTGCTTTTAGAAATGGCGATTCATTATCACAAATGAACCCCCTTCAACCCTTTCACAATATAATGCAGGCAGACCATTTGCACACATAAAAGGATCCTATATTTAACTGAATTAATCTTTGAGGAGCACAAACTAAATAAAACAGATAATTCAGCCAAATGAAGAGATAGCTTTAAGTAAAATTACTTAATTAAAATTGGCATAAAAAGAAAGAAATGCTTGAGAGAGAAAGAAGGTTTTCATCAGACAAATTTTCCCCTAGTTAAAAAAACCCTCAAATCATGGGAAAGAATTCTGGATTCAATATTCCTTTAGTAGCCAAATTGCATTCCTTAAAATTTATTAAAGCCATTTGTTAAGGACTAAAGACACGGGAATCTGGATTTTTTGTTTCTTCAAATTCAGTAACCAATGGTAGTCACCAAATTCTAAAGTGCTGATAATAACATTTTTTCACATGGTTAAAGATTATTTTGAGAATTGCTTTGAAATCATCATTAAACACAGGCCTTGGCAGACAAAGCTGAATATTTGGAACATATGAGAGGATAATAAATAATTGAAATTCATTGCGGCCAAGTGGAAATAAAAATTGATGGTTTAAAAGTGGCAAGTATTTCAGAGGATTCACTTTTGGGAAGAATCATACAATGAACTAGACTTGATAGAAGTCATTTAAAGCAATGAGGCTCTATTATGCAATCTGATAAATGTTGCAGTGTAGTTTGAGATACATCAGGTAACATTCATTCATATTGTTTGATTTAATCCATATTGTTTAATTTATTTACCACCTTTTTCCCAACATGTAACCCAGGGCAGTTTACAAGATATTTTTAAAAGGTATTATATGGCTAAATACTTGATTAAAAATTTCAAAATCGCATTAGATCTCTTATTGAAAAGTCAAATTTTTTTAAAGGAATAAAATCATTTAA